TTACTTTACTACTGTAGTATATATAGTTTCCCAAACGCGATGTTGATTCACGTTTTGTGATTTATACAAATTACACTTAGAGTTTGAAATAACGTTTTCATTGGATGCTTCGAACGTCAAAATAAAGTAAATAACAATAAAGAAACTAAACATTTGGAATCGATGTTGTCTTCTTCTGTTTGGTCATATGTTTGGTTGAGTTCAGATATCAAAATATGGGAATATGCGTACTAGATATTAAAATATGCGTACTATCCACGTCTATATTTTAATACATTGATTTTAAAATATCTGCGGCGACAGATATTGACTCCTCGTTCATATTAAAACAATTGCACTAATTTCAAGCTGGAAATGTCACAAACACGTAAATAACACGTTCGTGTACTATTTTAGTCTAGTAATTCCCGAAGATTTTGAATCTTACTCTATACAGAAGTATTGCAATAACCAGTACTGGGCTTTGGCAAAAAAAAAAAACCAGTACTGGGACGAAACTGAATTACATAGGTCATTAGTTCAACTGGAGATGACTCTAAGTTGTTCTAAAAATCAGTTTAGGTGGCATCTAGATATCTGCCTAGTCGATAAATTAGATATCAGCGAAACGATTTTTTTTCAAATTATTTTTTTTTTTAAATTAGTCGACATTTCAAAAATCGGTGGAAACACTCCCTAACCAATAATCAAAATGTCTAATCACGGGTATTTTTTAGAACATTGACTCTAACCATTGTGTAACAGATCTCCAATTCATCATCTTTGTAACGAAACTAATATTACATGTTGTCATTTTCAGATTTAGGGATTAAAGGTTTCGGCGACACCATGTAATAGATATGTCACACATGACTGGTTTAAGATTTTAAAAGCTATAAAATTAATAAAATATACAAAATTCTTTTTTCTTTTTTTTTTGATAGTTTAGAAACCTAATTTATGCATATTAACTCTTTAAAGTTTTAGGGATCCAAAATATGTATGATCAATATGGATTTTCATACGACGTGTTGTCTGTTAATAATAATAATGACACGTTCAAAGTTTGGGGAATTCGTCAACCATGCATACAGATCAACATGGTTTCTAAAAAAAAATATACATCCCTCATCAGAGAACCTTACAAAAAACCATGTAGTTATCATAAACCATTTTAGAAACATTGTGTTAAGCTGATGAACAATATATAGTTGACGTAAATAAAACTTGGAGTGTTTTTGTATACTTTCCGAAACGATCAAGCCTCGTGGTAAAATGTTAATTTGAACATTAGTGGATCACAAAAGTTCCACATCAATTAATACTCCACATTAATTAATCGATACCATTTATAAATTTACGTTTAAATAATAAATATTTTCATATATTTTAAATTTGTGATAAAATATTAAATTAACTCTCTTAAATTATTTATAGATGTTTAAAATATAATTTATAAAATATTTATATAAGTTTATAAATTTAACTTCACCTAAAAGATAATCACTAAATTTATAATCAAATGTTAAGGTGCTTTTTCATTAAATATATTTAAAAGATAGTAGTGGCCTTAGGATATTTTAAGAAACTTGTCCTTATTTATTGATTATATTCATTGATTTTCTTCAGCTAATATTCAAAACTGATATGATCTAGACTATTCACTACAACATATAAGGTTTAATCGAATGCAAAAGTCTTCTTTTTCTTTGAGCAGAGAATATCATTAGCAAATAATTTTAATACGTTTCCACATTTATTGTTTGAGATTTTGTTCCGGTCAAGTGACAAGGAGAAAGTTTGAAATATCGACATATTTCAGGTTCGATTTATCTTCTTTATAAAATTAAGTCATATTATTCCTAGACATTAATATGAACATAGGCTTCTATTGTCAGTTTATTTGTACATAGAAGATCTATTCATAAACTATACTTCTTTTTAAAGATTAGTCAAGATTTGTAATAGGAGAGTACCTAATGTCTTACATATGCATGCAACATATTAGGTGGTGGACAATATACATACGATCAATTTGTATCGTACATTCTTAATAATTGAATCTTTCGTAATACTAGGCGGATTCTGCAAAACGACAAAAAATCATTTGCAACATCCATTTGATCTTAGAGTCGACCTATTTTTTGTCAGCAGTCGACCTTGAGTTTTATGAATCTAGAAATAAGAAATAATCCTCTTTGCCTATATATATACTTTCTATAGTAAACCAACATAAATACTTTCTCAAAAAAGAAAAATATTGCGCGAACCAAAATTGTTTGAAAAGTGGCAAAAAATCTTTTGCATCTAATTATTGATTTTTTGAGCTAAATAAAGTGATCCAATGAGACAAACAAAATAGTGATTGACTATTATTGTTCATCACCTTTGGTGCAGAAAAAAGTTTTATCATTTTTTTTTTGGCTGTAAAAGGCATAAAAAGTTCATCATCGTTCGGACCTTGTTTGAATGAATATACTTAGTGATAAAGTTTCATTTTATTGTCTGAATTACTATATTTTATTAGCATTTTTAAGAATAACTTTATAATATTTTAAGTGGACAAATTTGTCCGGTTCATATGAATCCAAGATAATCAAAAGTTATCTCCGTTATACTATTTTTTTAATTGTTCTGTGCAGCAATGACGTTATCTTAGTGTAACATATTAATTAACTAAAAATATTAATTGACCCTTTCATAAAAATAAATAAACAAATAAATCAACAAGGTGTTTTTCTCCAAAAACAAAACTTCAAATATAACTTTAAATTATTTATATTTATATTATGGTTTTTATATTTGTCATAATTAATATAAATTCATAAAACATTTATAAATAACAAACACACACACACAAATATATATATATATATTATATAACAATATAATTAGTAAAATCTTATTCTAAAATATAAAATTATAAATACAAATACATAATTAAGTATTAATTACAAGCATAATACCACATTCTTGTTGTCTAATTTTAGTTTAGTTTAAAAAAAAAATACAAAACTACAAGAAAAATCATAATTTTACTCTAAATTTTTTTATTTAGTTTTATGTCTTAAACTTAAATTTATAAAAATAAAATTTAATTTGAAATATTTATGAGATATGAAATTTTTAAGGATTAAATCGATAAATAAAAAAATATTTATGAATTAAAAATTTTATTTATAATTGTAAGGACCAAAATACAATTAAAAATATGAAAGTTCAAATTTAGAGTTTTTAGTATTGAAACTTCAAATATGAAGTTTCATTCCTCAAAATTTCAAATATGAAGTTTCAATACTCAAAACTCTAAATTTGAAATTTTGAAGTTTTTTTTTTAGAGCAAATAACTATATATTTGAAGTTATAGAGTTTTTTTTAAGAGATACTCTAAAAACATCTCCAAAAGACACTCTATAACTTCAAATATGAAGTTTTTGATTTCCAAAAAAAAAATTCTAAAACTTCAAATTTGAAGTTTTGAGTACTGAAACTTCAAATATATAGTGTCATTACTTAAAGCTTCAAATTTTTATTTACATTTTGATATTATTTATAACTCTTAAATATTTTATAGTTTATTATTATTTTTTTAAAAAAAATTATCTCATAAATATTTCAAAATTGTTTTATTAAATTTAAATTTTACACAGTTTTTTTTTTCTGAAAAACATCAAGATAAGATTTCAAATATTTTAAAATCAGAACTAAACAACAACAATATTACCATATTTAATGTATTTTGTTCGTAGTTTAATATTTAATTATCTATTTCTATTTATAATTATATATTTTGTTGTAATATTTTATTAATTAATATTGTTCTAATCTTTTATATATGTATTAGTTCTTTAAAAAGTTCTGTGAATCTGAATTTTAATTATGGTAAATATAAGAATCACAATATAATATACAAATAGTTTTAAAGTTGAGTTTGAAGTTTTACTTTTGAATCACAACACATTTAAAATTCAAATATAAAACTTTGTAAACTTTAAAATATAAATTTTTTTTGAAGATATTTTAAGTGGAGTTTCACTCATTCAAAATAAGAGGAGAAGTAAATATAATATCTCCAGAAGTTTTTTAAAAACATACAACACTGTACCAGGCTTTATCAGATCAGATGTTCCCATCCTATATATAAGTTTTATATCTTTATAGGTTTTCAGTTTGAATCGTACAATCCCAACAAAATGAAAATAAGCTTGTGGGTCCAAAAACAGTAAAATAATAAAACTTTTTACAAACATTTGTAACTAAATAAAAAAATAAAAACAGATCGGAAAATTCAATTAAATAAAAGAGAGAGAAGACTCCGAGACTGTGAGAAAGAGAAAGAGAGAGAGAGAGAAGAGGAGCTTTAGCCTCGTGCATGGGCAACAAAGCATTTATAGATGAAGAAGAGATTCTCTGATTGAAAGCAACAATAACGAAGAAGACTAATCCTCCTTCCTTCAATCTAGGGTTTCCTCTTCCTTCTTCGTCTTCTTCCTCTCTTTCTCGAAACTGGTGAGTATTCCGCGAATCGGATTGCTTTCCTCTTAAATCTGGCTATCTCCTTCTCGAAATCCATCGTAGTATCAGCTCGTGAAGTCATTTTCCGCGACTCGAACTCGCGATTGTTACTTAATAATCGGATTAAAGACTATTCACGAGCTGTTTGACTAATCTTTGTTTTTTTTTTTTGAGTAATGAGTTTATTGCAATGCGCTCATAGAAAAAAAAACAGTTTTTTTTTTTAATGTTCGAAATCATTTGATTAGTTTCATTGTTTGAACCTTATTTTGGCTAAATCTGAAAATAATTTGACAGGGATGGATCATTGGTGAATGCCAGCTTCAGGAGTATCTGTTATTAATGGTGGAAAAATTAATGATTGGTGTCTCTCTTATGTGATTTTGCATCTTGATTATAAACTCAAAGAGTTATGATTGATACACAATCATTGAGGGTTATGTCATGTGCTCAGATGTAAGGCTTGATACAATGTTTTAATAAATCACCAGAGACTGCTTGTTAAGATGGAAATCAGGTTTGTGCTTTTTCCTGCCTTTCACCATTTTTACTTTGGGGGGTCAGATCTGACTTCTGAGGTATGAGTTTGTCTTTCCTCAGGCTTGAAGAGAAGGAGTTCTCAAATGGTGATGTTTATTCTGGTCAACTCAGAGGAACCTTTCCTCACGGGAAGGGGAAGTACTCGTGGTCTGATGGAATCATCTACGAAGGTGATTGGGAAGAAGGGAAAATCTCTGGGAAAGGAAAGATTACGTGGTTATCTGGAGCTAAATACGAAGGTGATTTCTCTGGAGGATACCTTCATGGCTTTGGGACAATGACTTCCCCTGACGGATCTGTCTACAGTGGAGCATGGAGGATGAATGTTCGCCACGGTTTAGGTAGGAAAGAGTATGTTAACTCAGATTCATATGATGGGTCTTGGAGAGAAGGGTTACAAGATGGGAGTGGTAGTTATACTTGGACTAATGGAAATAGGTTCATTGGGAACTGGAAAAAGGGTAAAATGTCTGGGAGAGGTGTTATGAGTTGGGGAAATGGTGATCTCTTTAATGGGTTTTGGTTGAATGGTCTTAGACATGGCTCTGGAGTTTATAAGTATGCTGATGGAGGTTTTTATTTTGGGACCTGGTCACGTGGACTGAAAGATGGGACTGGAGTTTATTACCCTGCTGGAAGTAAACACCCTTCTCTAAAGAAGTGGCACCGGTCTTTTGGTTATGATGACACTGGGAACTTTGTCCTCTCTCATGATTCATCGATCAACCTTGAGGAGCTACGGAACTCAAAAGCTGTGTCAAGAACTCTTTCTGAGATAACCACAACAAGTGGACTGACGAGACACTCGGGTAGAATGTCTGAGAGGTTTCTTGATGAAAACTGGAGTACCAGTGATCCTCCAAGAGATTATATGGGTCATGGGCCCTTGTCCAAGTCTGCACGGTCAGGTGAATCTGGTCAAAGCGAGGGGCGTGGCAAGAACCCTATCGTCTTCGAAAGGGAATACATGCAAGGAGTTTTAATTAAAGAACGGATTATGAGTTCTATTGACATGTCACGCAAGGCTAGACCTCTGGATGGACCTAAAGAGGTCACGATTAGCGCTTGTGTGTCCTTCCTTGGGGGAAAATGGAACTATTATCTAATGCTTAATCTCCAACTCGGTATCAGGTAAACAATATCGCATTTATCTTTGTGGAAGTTTATGAAAGATTTTTTTTTTTTTTAACAAATTATGGTTGTCAAAATGGCAAGATAGCTTCATTACTTTTGACCTTGTTACTCAGTTCTCATATGATCTTTAGACTGATCAGTCATATCAGAACACAAACAGTTAAACAATGCTTGTACTAGCTGTTCCTTCTTACACAACATAACTTTTGAAGTTCACAGGTATACTGTTGGAAAAATCACGCCGGTGCCTCGGAGGGAAGTTCGTGCTTCTGACTTTGGTGAAAGAGCCAGAATCACCATGTTCTTCCCCAGAGATGGTTCCCAGTATACGCCTTCACATAAGTCCATTGATTTTGATTGGAAAGACTATTGCCCTATGGTTTTCAGGTAAACATGTTTTCTTTCAGCCATATACCAAAAAACTTTTAGAATCAACATAAACAGTAGCATAAAATTTTTCTATCAATATGTCTATGTATTCAAGATTACATGTTCCTCAGATTATTTACTGTGCATGTTTTTTCAATGGCATGTCATAGGAATTTGAGGGAGATGTTCAAACTAGATGCTGCAGAGTACATGATGTCTATCTGTGGTGATGATGGTCTGAGGGAAATTTCCTCCCCTGGGAAAAGTGGCAGTATCTTCTACCTTTCTCACGACGACAGATTTGTGATCAAGACACTAAAGAGATCTGAGTTGAAGGTTTGATCTAACTTAAACCAAGCTGTTGCCTTAGTGTTTTGGGGATAATGTAACGCCTTCTTAATTTTTGGTTGTGGGACTGGGAACTGATTCTTGGTCCTTTTATTTTTTTTTCTTGTTCCCTTTTAGTCTTTTAGACAATGCTTATCACGCCTATAGAGTCTAGTCTGTGTCTTTACTTAATTACTTGTATAGGTTTTTCTTTATATATCACAGGCTCTTATTTAATTCATGACTGAAAGGATCTCTTTTTTTTTTTTTTTTTTTTTTTTT